GAGAGAGAGGGGGAGGGAGGGGTTCCAGGTGCCTTTCTGCTGTCCTTCTGTTGTGGTTCTATGTGTGTACTGACCATCCGGCTCCGGATGTGTGGACCCGTGTCCTTTGGTGTTAGAGTGCATGGATGCCAGTGGGGCCCTGGGTGTGTTCCTAAGTGGTAATCTTCTGGCCTCTTGATGCATGAAGAGGCCGCTTGGGTTCAGTCTATGCTGTGGACTAGTCTCGTGGGCAGGGTGCTGTGTGTTGTGACCGGGTGCTAGCATGTGGGGGCTAGGGGGGAGGGGGGTTAGGAGGTGGGGGCTCAGTAGGAATAGATTGGTTATGGTAGCATGAGGGGGGGGGTTCTCTTTCTGCTTGTGCACTCCTTGCATTTCCCGAGTTTCAACTGCTTGGTTGGGGGCTAGGAGCCGGGGCCGAGTTCTGATGCTGATCGGTTTTGTGTGACCCATCAGGTTTAGGTGTCGGGCCGCGGTGGTGTGGTCCGTGATCATGCCAGTAGTGGTATTTGGGCCATGAGGGTGCTCGATGCCCTAACTCTAGGCCGGTGTTTGTCTTGGGCGTTGCTCTTCCCTCCGGTCTGTGCCGCCCCTCGGGGTGGTATTGGTCAGTGGGTGGGGTCGGGGGTCTGGCATGGGGGATGGTTCCTGTCTCTTCCCCTCCTCTTCCAGGCTCTCTCCCTTATCTGGTGTCAGGGGAGTGTAAGGGTGGTAGGGGATGTGGGTGATTTCCCCCCTGGCCGTCCGCCCGCGGCCTGTCGGGCCTCCATTGGGAGGGGGGTGGTAGTGGTGTAGGGTGTTGGCGGGCTGGTGTATTTTGTAGGGTTGTGGGGAGGGAGGGGTGTTGGGTGTGGGGGGTGAGCGTGAGTGGTACTGGTGTGTGCGCTTTTCTCTCGTGGCGGTTCTGGTCATGAGGATGGTTCGGGTGGGTTCGACTGTCAGCTGGGGTGTTTACGTTTGTGCGGTTGGGGCCAAAGTTGGGTTGTTCATGTCCCACGGGTCCCAGGTTCGGTGGAACACTTTATATGAGTCGTGTATCTGTGCGGTTAATTCGTCTAGGTCGCGAGTTTCTTTGATCTTGTTGATGATAGTCGGGATTGTGGGAACTCGGTGGTCTGCCCAATGCTCCGCAATTGCCCTTCGGGTTGCCAGCGTTATCCTGGCAACTAGTTTGTTTTCGCTCCTTGTAAGGGAGTCAAGTGGTTTGTTGAGTAGCATCATCCAAGGGTGCGCCGTGATGGGTTTGTCGAGAGTCTGTTCTATGAGGCCAACGGATTTCAGTCCAGAGTGGCTTGATTTTGGGGCAGTTCCACCAGCAGTGTAGGTAGGAGCCTGTTTCGCCGCATAGTCTCCAGCATAAGTTGTCGGGTTTTCTGCCCATTTTGTGGAGTCTGTGCGGTGTCAGGTACCAGCGGAATAACGTTTTGTATGCTTGTTCTTTGTGCGTAATGCATACTGTCAGGGAGTTCGTTGCTTCCCAGATTTCTGCCCAGTCGCTCACTTCTTCTGGTGGTCCAAGGTCTCGTTCCCATGCGGCGATGTAGGTGAGGTTGATTTGAGGGGTATGTGTCGTCAGGGTTGTGTATAAGTCAGAGATTTGCCTTGGGTGTAGGGGTGCATCAAAGCACCGTTTCTCGAATGGTGTCAGGGTTGAGGTCCCCGCCTGTTTAATCATTGGCTGTCTTGCCAGGTCCCTGAGCTGCATGTAACCAAAATAGTCCCCTGTCGTAAGTGAATCGCAGTCCGGGAGGTCTTTGTAGACGATGATTTCTCCCCGGTGGTACAGGTGGAGCAGTCTGGAGACGTCCCTGTGATCAAATGCGCGGAAGTGCTTTGCGACCATCCCGGGTGGGAAGAGTTTGTTGCGCTATATTGGCGTTACTGGGGAGATGAAAGAGGACAGCTCGTATTTAGGGTTTAGTTTGTCCCAGAGAGCTAACGTGTGGGTGATTGCCGGGGAGGTGGGTGGAGGGAGTGGGCGGTGGGCGGGAGGCACCCACATATAGGATGAGGGCTGGTCCCAGCCCATGACATCGTGCTCCAGGTCCACCCATCTTTTGGTGTTCGGGGGTGCGTGCCAATGTTGGATGTGGGCCAGTTGGGCCGCGTTGTAGTATTGTTGGAAGTTAGGTAGTCCGAGGCCCCCGCTGATTTTGGGGATGTGCATGGTCGACCTGCGGATCCGTGGTTTTTTGGCCCTCCATATGAATTTGTCAATGGCGGCCTGGAGGTCGTGGAAGTCTTTTTTCTGTATGGGGATGGGTAGCATTTGAAAGAGATATAAAAAGCGCAGTAGCAAGTTCATTTTGATGGTTGTAACTCTACCAGGCCAGGAAATCCACAGGTTGTCCCAGCGTTGTAGATCCAGGTGAGCTGTTGCTAGCAGTGGTTGGTAGTTTAGTTCGTAGGTGTCTTCCAGTTTTAGGGGCAGTCGAATGCCCAGGTATGTGTGGTGGGTCGTGGTGGTCTGGAAGAGGAACGAGCGTCGGAGGAGGGTGATTTGTTGCGCGTTCATCGCCATAGGTATGAGAACGGATTTCGACAGGTTTATTTTGTACCCGGAGAAGCTGGCGTATTCAGCTATCACATTGAGGGTGGCGTTCAAGGAAGGTATCGGGTCCGCGAGGGTCAGGAGGACGTCGTCCGCATACGTTGCTACCGTGTACGTGTCTTGTCTGATCTGGATGCTGTGGATGTCAGGGTGGCTGCGTATGGCTTGCAGAAGTGGTTCTAACGAGATTGCAAATAGTAGAGGAGAGAGAGGGCAGCCCTGCCTGGTCCCATTTGTGATGGTGAATGTTTGGGCAGTAATGTTGGGTAAGAGGAGTTTCCCAGTGGGGCGGTTATAGATTGCCGTCTGGGCGTTCAGGAATCCAGCCGGAAAATTCAGGTGTGTTAGCGTTTGGAACATGTATGGCCAGAGAAGGCAGTCGAACACCTTCTCCGCGTCCAGTGAGAGCATTACCGACGGGATGTGCCGGCTCTGGGCGTACCAGATTGTGTTAAAGGCTCTCCTGGTGTTGTCCGATGCCTGTCTTGTGGGGATGAATCCAACCTGATCCGGGTGTATCAGTGTGGGGAGGTACATGTTGAGGCGGTTGGCCAGTGCTTTGGTGAGGATTTTTAAATTGGTGTGCTCTGGGTCTATTTTTATTACACTTGTACCTTTAGTTTAGTCACACATGCCCTGTGAAGGCATGAATTTTTTTATGGATTTTACTGAAAGGGATGTAAAGTTAGGAAGATAAAGAAGTGGAAAAAAAGGGGGTGGGATCAGTAAGAGATAGTAAACTCTCAGGGAAGGGGTGAACAACATGTATGGTCATCTCCAGCCGGGGCCGGGTAGCTTATGTCTCTGTGTTGGTATGCCCGTCAGCGGTTAGTGTAGTCCTCCGATGGCTCCCAGGTTTTAAGGAATAGTGGATAAGTATCTTGTATTTGTGCTGTGAGTTTGTCCATTGTCCATCTGTAGCATGTCGATTTGTAACCAGGTTTGTGCCATAGCTCTCCTAGCGGACAGATTTATTTTGTTGAATAGCTTTTGTTCTTTGTTAGTTAGATTGTCCAGGGGTCTTGCTATAAGGAAAGCCCAGGGATCTGGCTCTATTGGTCTGCTCAATACCGCTGTCAGTAGTCGGGCTATACCATCCCAGAATCTCACTGCTTTTGTGCAAGTCCACCACATGTGTAGATAGGTACCCCTCTCTCCACACCCCCTCCAGCAGGTATCTGTACGTGTTTTGCCCATTCTACATTGTTTGACTGGAGTGGTGTCCCATCTCATGAGTGTTTTATAGCATTGTTCCTGGTGTAGTACGCATATGGAAGCCTTTGCTGCTGCCTCCCATATGTCTTGCCATTCCCCACTCTCTAATGTCTGTTTTAGTTCCGTCTCCCATTGTATGATGTATGTAGGTGTTTGAGAGTCATCTGTTGGTGCGCTTAGTTGTATGTATAGGAGTGTGATGAGGCCGGTACGTGGCCCATCAGACATGCATAGTGTTTGATAAAAGGTTGGCTTGGCCCTGGCCGCCTTCCGTACCTGTGTACGTCCAGCGAAATCCCTTAGTTGAATGTACCTAAAGTGGTCTTTAGTTGTCAGCGGGGCTAGGGTTTTTAAGTCGTCGAAGGTTCGAAATATACCTGCCCGGTAAAGTTGGTGGTAGCGCTGTATGCCTGTGTTTTCAATGCCCCTGAAGTCCCTGGCAGTCAGTCCAGGTTTAAATGCATTGTTACGGAGGTATGGAGTTAGTGGCGATACTGGGTGGGTGAGTGAGTACTTGTGGGCTGTGGAGTCCCATATCCTGATCGAGTTCAAGATTGCTGGGCAGCTAGTGCAGAGCTTTGGTCTATCTGTCTTGGAAACCCAAATCCAGAATTGAGGGAGATCTGTACTCATGAGTAGTGTTTCTAAATCAGTAGTGTTTCTGGTGGCGATTGCCATTCTATGATTTGCGCCAGTTGTGCCGACAAGTAATATAGGTGGAGGTTGGGTAGACCCAGTCCTCCCCTGCTTTTGGGGGTATACAGGGTCTGTCTCACTATTCTGTGTCTTTTTGGTGCCCATCTATCGCTGTTTGTAGTGTTTTCAGATCCCCCTTGGTGACTTTTATTGGCAATGCTTGGAAAAGGAAGAGGAGGTGCGGTAGAAGATTAATTTTTACACTGTGCAGTTTCCCTATCCATGATATGGGTTTTTCATGCCATTTGTCTAGGTCTTTTAATAGGGTGTTTATCATGCGTTGGTGGTTCTCGGCATATAGGTCGTTAGGGTTCGGTGCCAGTGAGACGCCCAGGTATTTGATGGGTCCTGGGCTAATTTTCAGGTCAGACGTCTGTCCTAACCATGCAACGTCTGTTTCTGACATTTCAATGGGCATGTCTACCGACTTATCTACATTTATTTTGTATCCCGAGACTTGTTTGTATGTTTCTAACGGTTCAAGGAGGCATGGGACGGATTCTTTCGGGTCAGTGAGGGTTAGTAAGATGTCATCGGCATACGCAGATACTTTAAATTCCTCTGCTGCCACATTTATGCCTGTTATCCGTGGGTGCTCTCTTATCAGGTTTAGTAATGACTCAAGGGCTAGTATGAACAGGAGAGGGGAAAGGGGGCAGCCATTTTTCAGGTTGAATGAGCATGGCACTGCTCCAGGTATCGTTGTTTGCGCTCTGGGATTAGTGTATAGGGCTCTCACTGCTGTGACAAAGGTGTCCGGTAGGTGCATTTGATGCAGTAGTGTGAATAGGTAATGCCATTGGACCCTGTTGAATGCCTTCTCTGCGTCCAAGGAAAGGATCAGAGAAGGCGTTTGTGTTCTTATACTGTCACCTTTTACGTATGCTCTACAATGGATAATACTGATCTCCCTTGGTTGCCATACTGCTTCCAACAATTGGATTATCTCAGCTGCGTATTTGATATCTTTTCCTTCTGAGTTCAGTAGTCCTCTTTCCTTATACAGTGCTCCATGGGCATGAGCTATCAAAAATTCGTATCTGGAGTCAGTGTATATATTCACTCTCAGTCCTGCTGATAATTATGTAAGTGCTATAGTTCAGCCTTTTGTGCAGATGTTTCTTTTGGTAGAGGCTGTGCCTCTGTCACCTTGTCTGTGGTTGTTACTGCACATCCTGCTTAATGAATTCACTGTCTAACAAAGCTATTACCGTCCGTGTAGTATTGTATGTCAGGATTCTGAATTGGAAAATCATGGAGGTCAGGCCTACTGGAGAAAACCTCATCCATTATCTCCAAGCAATCATGTTGGGTCTCAGTGGCCTGTGGCAAAAGGGTGGCTGGATTGAGAGTAGTAATGGTTTCGAGGTGTACTCTTGGATTTTCACATAACATGGCCTGGTATCTGGTCATTTTACTGTTGCTAAACCAGTGATTGCCTTTGTAATCTAATATGGTCTGTACTGCATGGGAAACTCATACATAGAGTTCTTGACCCAAAGTAAGTTTATCTGCTTCTGCCACTAGCAGAGCTTCAGCCGCTACTGCTCGTAAACATGGTGGGAGGCCGCTGGCCACTACATCCAGTTGTTTGGACAAGTATGCTACAGGTCGTTTCCATGTTCCCAAGTATTGGGTTAATGACCCTATCGCCATTTTTCTTTGTTCATGCACGTAGAAAAAGAAAGGGCACAAGTGGTCTGTTAGACCAAGGGCTGGTGCACTCATAAGTGCCTTCTTGATTGATTGATTCAAATGATTTCTGCTACTCTGTGGTCCATAGGAATGGACCGTGTTCTGTTCCTTTTGTAGCTTCATACGATGATTTTGCTAGTATTGCATAATTAGGGATCCATATTCTGCAGAATCCAGCTGCACCGCACCTAAAAATTCTTGGACCTCTCTTCTGTTTTTCTGGGTGTGTATACGACATAAAGTCTCTTTCAGGACCCATCTTCCTTTGGCCCTCTGAGATATGAAATCCCAGATACTTAACAGTTGGCTGGCACAGTTGTGCCTTTTTCTTAGCTACTTTGTACTCTGCCCGCCACAGAATATGGAGAAGGTCATAAGTAGCTTTCTGGCATACTTCTTTGGAGATGGCTGCTATCAGAAGATCATCCACATATTGAAGCAATATTCATTTCACAGATATAGACTAAAAGTGCCGACCAAAATAAGGTAGGTGAGTTTTTAAAACCTTGTGGCAGCCTGGTCCAGGTCATTTGTCGTTTTGATCTGGTAATGGCATCTTCCCATTGGAAAGCAAAGATACACTTGCTCTCAGCAGAGACTCAGATTCAAAAGAAGGCATCTTTAAGATCCAGGACTGTATAATGGAAAGCACCACCAGGGATTAGGGCAAGCAGATTGTAAGGGTTTGGTACCACTGGATGTATGCTGACTACTGCATCATTAACAGCTCTTAAATCTTGCACAGGATGATAATTATTTGAACATGGTTTTTGAACAGGTAATAACGGAGTATTCCAAGGGGATATACTAAATTTTAAAATTACCATATTTTACAAACGTATCTAAATACATCTGTATATTTTCCTTAGCCTTCTGAGGTATATGGACTATATACAGAGGCTAACAGGATGGACAGGAAGGTTTTAATTAATGTAAGTGTATTGGCGGAATATTACGGGTGAGTCCCGGGGGGTTATCCTCTGCCCAAACCCCCGGGAATATCCAATAATAACCCATCAATCTTAGGGTCAGAGGGTTCCGTTACAGAGTATAAAATGCCATTCTTCCTTTTTAGGCACAAATATGGCTAATATGCCTGATGTTTTATTAAACTGCAAGGGCGTGGACCTGTTAGATAAGACAGTTATTTGGGCTTGGAGTTTGGACAGAAGATCCCATCCAAAGAGTTGAATTGGGCAATCGGGCATGTACAGAAATTGGTGTTAGACTACATGGCCCCCTAGGGAACATGCGCGGTTCATGAGGCCTAGTCTAGTGGCCTCTTTCCCTGTAGCCCCTATAATAGTGACGGTTTTTCCTGATTGTGGGGCTATTAATTTTGTTACCACTGAATGTTCAGCACCTGTATCAACCATAAAAGCACTTTTCTTTCCCCCTATTGTTAATTCCACCATATGCTCCGCTTGGTCAAGGGAGATGGAGCCCGGTATGTCTCAATTGTCTTCCAGGATTGTATCAGCCAGATCCATGAAATCCCTATCTCTCGGTCTCTGAGTATAAGTGTTATATCTATCATCCTGAACCTCACCTCTATGCTGAGCGTTATTCCCTTTGTATCCTCCTCTTCCCCTCTTCTCATTTTGCCTGTAACCTGCTTTGTGTCCTTACTGTGGGCATTCATTCTTCCAGTGGCCATTCATTCTTCCAGTGGCCTTCCTCTTTACAATAGGCACACTGGTTTCTACCTAACTGTGGCCTGTCTGTCAGGTATAGCATGGCATGTAATTTATCGCCGGAACCCACTTCCGGGTTCACGGCGCTCAGCCCCGCCCCTTTCTCTGACGCGGTCCCTCCACGATACTTAGGAGGACCGCGCCAGATTCAAAGGGCTGGATTATTCGCACAGGTGCTGCATGAAGATCAGCTGCTCTACTTCTGATCCTACCTGCTCCACTTCTATACCTCGGCTAGTAAACGGATTTCTACCTTCTCCACTTCTCGACCTCGGCTTGTAAACGGATTTCTACCTTCTCCACTCCTAGACCTCGGCTTGTAACTCTGAATTCTACCTTCTCCACTCCCAGACCTCGGCTTGTTAAAACGGACTTCCCCACTCTCCACTCCTAGTTCTCAGCTTGTTGAAACGGACTTCTAATTTCTCCTTCATTGGGTGAATTAACCCTTCCAGTGCCAGAACTGCCTTTAAGTTAAGTAATACTTTTACCAAACAAGTCAATTACTATTATTTATATTACACAGTATCTAAAACTCACTAAAGTGTCACTTTGTCTAATTATTCCTCTTACTCATAAGGGATTGCTACAAAGCCTAATTTTACCTACATGGATATTTAAAGGTACAGTGACCATAGTTTCATACCAATATAAAAGGAGGTGAACCTTATTGTTGTTGCAACCAAGAAATGCTGCAGTTGAGTTCCAATTAAAGAAATATTACAAAATAAGTATCACAGAATAATCCAGCCCTTCAATGGAACCAGCAGATATTAACTCTCAAGTTTCTGCCCTAACCAATAGAGTGGATACGATTGCTCAAGGGTTACAGGAACTGCAAATTACAAATGAGAGAATATTAACCTATGTTAGAGACATTCAAGGTCATCTTCCTCATGCCGCTCTTCAATCGGCTGGTGATCCTGCTGTCTGTAATCCAGAAAAATTTCATGGAGATAGAACAAAGTACAGAGAGTTTTTGAATTCTTGCAAACTACTAATTGCTTTAAAACCTAGATCTTATCCCACCGAAAGATCCAAAGTCTGTTCAGTGATCTCTTTTTTAAGAGGTGAACCTATGGCATGGGCCCATTCCTTTTTGGAAAATGATGATCCCATATTGGATTCATTGGATGAGTTCTTTGAAGCTATGTCTTTATTATATGAAGATCCTTTTAAACAAACTACTGCTGATTTAACCATCAGAACATTACACCAAAAGAATAGACCTGTTGAAGATTATATTGCAGAATTCAAAAGATGGGCTACAGAAACCCAATGGAATGACATTACTTTACGCAATCAATTCCGTCTCGGATTATCTGAAGCTGTGAAAGATGAACTCTCTCGTACAGAACTTCCTCCTACCTTAAATGCATTGATTCAACTGTCTATCAGTATTGATAGACGTCTAAGAGAAAGAAAAGCTGAAAGGGTTCTTACTAATTCTACCTGGAGAAAACCTTTCACTACTCTAAAACTACCTGAAAAAATTCCTCCACAACCTGAACCTATGGAAGTAGGTATAATAAAAAGTCCTCTTACTTCTGAAGAAAGAATAAGAAGGAGACAACTAAACTTATGTATGTATTGTGCTTCGAATGAACATCTAATTTCCGAATGTCCTCTACTGAAACATTCAAAAGGTGGTAAGCTTCATTCATCTACCTCTATATTGAACGTTTTTCAAAAAAGAAAAGCATCTACTTATTTTTCTATATCTCTCATATTACAGTGGGATACAAAAAGAATCGTGACTGAGGCCATCATTGATTCTGGTGCTAATGGAACTTTTCTTGATTTTTCTTTTGTTTCAAAAAATAAAATTCCTTGTGTTCAAAAAACCAATTTTATTCCAATCAGAGTTATTGACGGTTCATTTATATCCTCAGGACCCATCAAAGATGAAACAATCCCTCTAAGAATGATTACCAACAACGTACATTTCGAATTCATTACATTTGATATTATTAAATCTCCACTTTATCCCGTCATTCTAGGAATTAATTGGTTAAAAAACCATGATCCTTTAATTAAGTGGTCTCCCTTCTCCATCTCCTTTGCTTCTGATTTCTGTAAAAAAACGTGCTTACAACACATTCCTATTCTCCAAACTACTGTAGAACCAGTTATACCTCCATTCTACTCCGATTTTGCAGATGTCTTTTGTAAAAAAGAAGCGGAAACACTTCCTCCTCATCGGGTATATGATTGCCCAATAGATCTCATACCCGGAGCTCCTATTCCTTATGGTCATATTTATCCACTCTCTGAAAAGGAGTTAGAAATTTTAAAAGAATATCTTAATGAAAATTTACGCAAAGGATTCATCAGACCCTCGACCTCTCCTGCTGCTTCTAGTATATTCTTTGTGAAGAATAAAGACCAAACCATCCGTCCTATTATAGATTACAGAGCCTTAAATAA